CTTGCCAGCCTACATCGAGTACGACGTACCACAGGACCCTTCGGTTTCTTTCTCCACCACCGCCGACGACCAGGTGAGCCTCTTCCACCCGCAGACCACCATCCTCTGCCACTTCTTCGCCAGCTGAGCAAGTCTTGTGGCACTCACCATGGTAGCTTCTTGTGTTTCTGATTACTGAAAACTGAAGAGATTCTTTTGTCGCCTCGAGCTTGGAATGCTTTCTCCTGTTGGTGCAGCGATGGTCTTTGGAGACACTTAGCCATGGATTTATATCTCAGTGCAGCCACGGGCAGGAGACAAGGCCATGAGCAGCCGAAGTTGTGCTGAGGCAAGTGTTTGGCAAGTGCATGCGCTACCATGCTGATCGGTCTAGCACAAGGACCCCAAGTTAATTGTGAATCTGCGATGCCCACCGCAAAATACTGCTACTTGCAAGTTGCCTGAGTGGGTACAATGGCTGATCACTCACCCAAAATCTGGTCCCGCAGACATCTCGTCAAAATCAGTGATCACATTGTCTGTAGCTAGCTGCAACAGCATTGCATGCGAAGCACTCATGGCATTGTCTCCTGCCCACCGCTCTTTCTGATAGCTACACACAACCCGCACATGTGCACTGCCCTGATCCCTCTCTTCCTTCTACTATAAATCCATGGCCTGCTCATCACAAACTTCTTCATCTCATCTGCAAACAACATCACTATCTACACCACACCTTCAGACTTTTGGAGCCAAAGTGAAATTTGGCCAGCCAAGAACACTTCAGACTCAAACATGATTCATTCAAAGAGGCTTGCTCAGCTGGCCCAGAAGTGGCAGAGGAAGGTGGCGGCCGGAGCTGGTGGCCAGCAGACCCGCGAGTGCTGCAGCACGGTCGCTGACAAGGGCCATTGCGTGGTGTATGCTGCTCACGGTTCGAGGTCCCGCTGGCATACCTCCGCACGACAGTCTTCGGCGAGCTCCTGAGGATGTCCGGGGAAGAGTTCGGCTTCGCGAGCAGCGAGGGAGGCAGGATCATGCTGCCCTGCGATGCCGTGGTTGTGGAGTATGTCTTGTGCCTGGTCAGGAGAGACGCCTCCAAGGAGGTCGAGAGAGCGTTCTTGAGCTCCATTTCTGGGCATTGCCATAGCCAGGATGCATCGGTGGGACTCACCCATAAAGTTGCGCTTTGTACATAGCTTAGCTACTGAAAATCTGAAATATTTTTGGTAGAAACACAAGAAGTTTGTACAGTCTGATGTAAGAGTCTATTATCACAGGAAATGACACAAAATATATCTTTTTCTCTCAGAGAAATCTAATACTTGGCCACTCCAAAGCCCAAGCATATTATTTGCCGTAGTTCGTACAGTGTGCTGAAGAAAGTAGACAAACTGCTGTCTCAAAGGGCGTGAATGTCTGAAGGAGGCGAAATTCTTTTAAGTGCGTTGATGTCAGCGACGGGCCTGCAGAGGCGTTGATGATTATGGCTAACCGTCGATTTATGGCTAAGCGATGCAGATCCAGGTGGGTTGAGTGGTCTATGGGTTTTTGCTGGGCATGGCCTCCGCCGAAGCCTGCCTGGGAAATGAACTCCTCTGCTGCCGCTGTTGCCTCCAGCAGTAGTGGCTTCTTCCTGATCTTCGTTCTCCTGTGCCAGCGCCGTTGAGTCCTCGGCTTCATTCTGGGAGCCTGCTATTTAGACGGGCAGCTAGTGTCTGCAGGTGTGGGCTGGGCGGCTCTTGTCGGCTTCTCCACAATCCGATCAGAATTTAATACCGAATAAGCCCTCTAGCTGGACTTGTCTGCAGAAAAGCAAGCAGATTTTCTCAAGTTCTTCATGACCTGCCTTTTGTAATTCAAGAAGTGAAAAGACACTTCCTTCTGTTCTATATCAGTCTGATTTTGGTTGGGCACAAACTAGGATATCATAAATCTTTCTGATACTGCATTTGATGTTCTGCTCCATAGACATTGTTAGAGTTATAATATAAGTCATGTACCCCTTTGTATTTATCCCGTTGTATGAGGGGTTTCCTGCATATGTTCCATACCTGTACATGTATATATATATATATCGGCCTATGGCCTCATGGAAATACAAGTTGCTTATTCCTAACATGGTATTAGAGTTAGGTCAATTTTTTGCACGCTGCAACTCGTACGTTTGATCCGTCTGTTTGATTGAAGCAATCCGCTCGATCTCCTCTCCGTCTCTCGATCGAAGCAGGGGGCTCGTCCCGCAGGAGTCCCCGATCTCCTCTCCAGCCGGCCGCTCGCAGGGCTTCTGCTGCCGGCCCGTCCCGATCGGGAGTCATCCAGCCGCCCGTCCCGCAGGCGCCCAGGGAGCTCGGCTGCCGACCCGTCCCGATCGGGAGTCACCCAGCCGCCCGTCCCGCAGGCGCCCAGGGAGCTTGTCCCAGGGGGCTCGTCCTGCAGGTGCCCAGGGAGTCAGATCGGCCCAGGGGGCTCGTCTTGCAGGCGCCCCTGATCTCCTCTCCAGCCGGCTTCCGCTGCTCCAGTAGCCAGCGCCTGATCCCGATCTGGTCGTTCTCGTCGGATCTAAAAAAAGATGTCTGCTGCATCGGGTTATGTTGCTGTCCCTCGCTGTCCGGTGATCTTTGATGGTACTAACTACACTGAGTTCACTGGCTTCATGCGCATTCACATGCGTGGCATCCGTCTTTGGGGTGTTCTTTCTGGCGAGGTCTGCTGTCCGCCACGTCCAGTTCCTCCGGTGGCCCCTACTCCGCCAACTCCATCGGTTCTTCCTACGGATGCTAATCAGGCCGCCAAGGATGCGGCTAAGGTTGCTGATGAGGCTGCTGATCGTGCTTATGATGAGAGGGTTTTGGCTTATGAGGAGGCTCTTCAGTTGTATCATGGTGCTCTGTCTGCTTACACCCAGTGGCTTGATGATGATGCTCGTGCTGCAGCTGTTCTCACTGCTAGTGTTCTGCCTCAGTTTGCTTCTGAATTTCTGGGTCTTTCTATTGTCTTTGAGATGTGGACCCGTCTTCGTGAGCGCTATCAGCCCTCTGGTGATGCCTTATACCTCTCTGTGATCCGTCAGGAGCATGCTCTTCAGCAGGGTGACTCTACTGTTGATGACTTCTATGCACAGAGTTCTGCTATCTGGCGCCAGCTTGATTCTCTCCGTAGTGCTGGGTGTCGTACCTGCCCCTGTTGCCAGGCTGTCCAGGCTAATTTGGAGTTTCATCGCGTCTATGAGTTCCTGTCTCGGCTCCGTAAGGAGTTTGAGCCCCGGCGTGCTCAGTTGTTTGCTCGTGGTCGTATTTCTCTCATGGAGGCGCTTTCTGAGATTCATGCTGAGGAGACTCGCTTACGTGGTGCTGGTTTGCTGGAGGTTCCCTCTGTGCTCGCTACTCGTGCTCCTACGCCACCTGCTCCATCGACCCCTTCTCGCTCGAGTGCTCCGCCGCTCTTGCCCACTCCTTCTGGAGGCTCAGGTCGCCCCCGTCCACATTGCGCCTATTGCAACAATGATGGTCATCTTGAGTCTCAGTGCTACATGAAGAAGAAACACCTGCGCAAGGCTCGATCATCATCTTCAGGGACTTCGTCATCTACCTTGACAGCTTCAGCCATTGCTTTGACTGAACAGGATATTTTGAGACTTAAGCGTCTGCTCGCGGCTTCAGGTTCTTCCTCGACGGGTACTGCCGGTTCTGTGACTGATGCTTCCCGCACTGAGCAATCACCCTCTACACAGTCAGGTACATCCCCATGGGTTCTGGACTCTGGAGCTTTTTTTCATATGTCTTCTCATTCTTTCACTTTGTCCTCTCTTCGATCACTGGATTCTCCTATTCATGTCTTCACTGCTGATGGTACTCCACTTTCTGTTGCTAGTAGAGGCAATCTTACTACTCCTTATTCTGTTCCTGATGTTGCTCATGTTCCTCGACTTACCATGAATTTGTTTTCTGCTGGTCAACTTACGGATTCTGGTTGTCGCGTCATCCTCGACGTTGACTCTTGTTCTGTCCAGGACCGTCACACGCACACTCTGGTTGGGGCTGGCCCTCGCCGCCGTGACTCTCAGGGTCTTTGGGAGTTGGACTGGCTTCATGTTCCTTCTGCTGCCACCACCATCGCCAGTTCTTCCGCTTCTGTCGCCTCCGTCACTGGTTCCTTCCAGTAGTGGCATCATCGACTTGGTCATCTGTGTGGTTCTCGGTTGTCTTCTTTAGTTCGTCGAGGCCTTCTGGGGTCTGTCTTAGGAGATGTCTCTTTAGAGTGTCAGGGTTGTCGTCTTGGCAAGCAGATTCAGTTACCATATTCACATAGTGAGTCAGTGTCTAAGCGTCCTTTCGATTTAGTCCATTCTGATGTATGGGGTCCGGCCCCTTTCGCTTCGAAAGGTGGTCATAAATACTATATTATTTTCATAGATGATTTCTCTCATTACACATGGCTTTATTTCATGACTTCTCGTTTTGAGGTGTTGTCTATTTATAAGCGTTTTGCTGCCATGGTTCATACTCAGTTCTCTTCATCCATACGTATTTTTTGTGCTGACTCCACCGGCGAGTATATCTCTAAGATGTTGCGTGGTGTTCTTGCTGAGCACGGGACTCTCTCTCAATTCTCTTGTCCTGGTGCTCATGCTCAGAATGGTGTGGCTGAGCGAAAGCATCGACATCTTCTTGAGACGGCTCGTGCATTGATGATTGCTGCCTCTCTCCCGCCTCATTTTTGGGCTGAGGCCGTCTCCACATCCACCTATCTTATCAATATACAGCCTTCCGCTGCTCTACAGGGTGGTGTTCCTTTCGAGCGACTTTTTGATCGTTCTCCCGATTATTCGATGCTTCGCTCGTTTGGTTGTGTTTGCTTAGGTTCTCCCGAAATTTGTCGACACATACTGCTTAGGTTCTAAAAACTGCGATCATCCATTTATCTTTGCAACAAAGTATATGTATACATTGAAATAACATTGTCTCCAACTACTGTCCATTTTCCTTGGTGTGAGATTCCTATATCTCTGCAGATAGTAATCAGGAGCTGCAGACACCGAAATGCTGGCTAACTTCCAGATGTGGCACCACATGATAATGGCATGGCATCGCCATGGTATTGAGGAACGCGGCCTCCGTCTCTGCGGAGGCGCTTCTCCTGAGCAACCACATGGCGTACTCCATCACCGATGCATCGCAGGGAAGCGTGATTCTGTCACCATCAACGCCTGCGAAGCCGAACTCCTCTTGGGATATCCTTAAGAGCTCACTGAAGACGGTTGTGCCAAGGAACGCAAGCGGCACTTCGAACCTCACGCCGTCGGCAGTGTACATGATGCAGTGGCCCTTACTGGCCACCGACGAGCATGACATGCCGCATGACCCTCCGGCTTCTTCTGTGGACGTTGATAACGACCAGGTGAGCCTCTTCCTCCTGATAGCCGCCACCCTCTGCCACTTCTTGGCAATCCGAGAGAGGTTCTTGGCACTCATCATGGTAGTTTATTGTGTTTCTGGGAACTGGAGAAATTCTTCTACTAGTTGAAGGTTGGAATGCGTTTGTCTGTGGATGAAGTGTGTTAGGAAGGCATTTAGCCATATATAATATATATAGCCAGGGGATAAAGCGGGCGCCCACATATGGTGGAGCGTGTGATGGTTAGGCAGGAGACAATGCCATAGGAATGGTACGTGCGGTGCTGCAATTTTGGAGGTGCTGTGATGTGATCTGGCTCAGGTCTGTTGGGGCCAAGTGTTTGGCACTTGACAGAGCTTGCGCTGGACGTCCTGCCGGCACATCCGTGGTGATAGGTTTGCTAGAGAAATGGCATGAGCACGAGGACCCCATGTGGTTCTCTAGCCACAGACACATTTCAGACATGGATAGTTCTTGGAAATCTCATCAACAACATTGCACGAAGAGCACTCATGGCATTGTCCCCTGCCCAACTCTCTCGCTGATAGCTACACACTTCCATATGCACTGCCCTGAGTCCTTTCTTCCTTCTATAAATCCATGGCCTGCTCAGCACAAACTTCATCTCATCTCAAGCAACATCACAATCTACAACACACCTTCAGACTTCCAGAGCCAAAGTGAAATTTAGCCAGCCGACCAGAACACATCCGAGTATCCGACTCAACCATGATCCACCCAAAGAAGCTTGCTCAGCTGGCCAAGAAGTGCCAGCGGATGTTGGTGGCTGGAGCCGGTGCTCGTCGTCGGCATGCCTCGGACATGGCCGATGACGAGTGCTGCAGCACAGTGTCATCTGTGGTTGCCGATGAGGGCCACTGCGTGATGTACACCAACGACGGAACCCGGTTCGAGGTCCCTCTGGCGTACCTCGGGACGTCGGTCTTCATCGAGCTCCTGAGGATGTCCGAGGAGGAGTTTGGCTTCACGAGCGGCAGTGACGGAGGCAGGATCATGCTGCCGTGTGATGCCACTGTGATGGAATATGTCTTGTGCCTGGTCAGGAGAGAGGCCTCTGAGGAGGTTGAGAGGGCGTTCTTGAGCTCCATTGTTGGGCACTGCCACAACTACAATGCTAGCTGCAAGGCACCATCAATGGAACTCGGCCATCATTTTGCTCTTTGTACTTCGCTACTAGCTTAGCTTCTGAAATATTTTTAGTTAGGACTGAGAGGAGCTCTGTAGAGCCTCATGTAAGATCAATGATCACAGGAAATGATACAAAGAGACAAATTTTCCGGGAGAAATTGGATTATTTGACACATCCTTGAAAATAGTTCATATATACTAGTGAAGGAAGTAAGAAAGAAACCATGGACTTTAAACCATGGATTTAAAAATTTATGGTCATCTGGCGCTGCGAAGTGGTTGGGGTGAGAGGATTAGATGGACAATTAACAAATTGCTCTCCCTTTACTAAAAAAAGAACTGTTGTTCCTACCTTGAACTAGAAACGTCGGATTGAGATTGCGTGTCCCAGATGGAGGTAGCTTGAGCAGTTCATAGTTTCTGGTTAGAGGTAGCTAGTAACAGCGGCTACCACCATGTCACTGCCGGAAGTGGCCAATTCTGGATCTTCGTTCCTCATGTGTTGGAGTGCCATGTGTGAGCTGGGCGGATTCTCGTCATCTCACCACACTTGGGTGAAAAGCTATGCATGGGCTGGGCGGATTTTCGTCAGCTCACCACACTTCGGTGAAAAGCTAGCATCATAGTGGACATGGCACATGATGGTCCAGGAACCTTTCATAGGTAGATGCAGAGTTCACTTCACTGCTTTTGGGTGTGTACTTTGCACTTACAGCTGCAGCTGCATGTTAGGTGTTTGTTGGTTTAACAGTGCTTTGATTGCTTCAGATCTGGCAAGTTCCATATCTCATTGTCCACCCATGGTGTGCATAGTTTCTAGCATAGCATGTGTCAGCCATCTTCCAGGTATCTTCCTTGCATTTAGCTGGGCAGTTGAGGGTTTCTAGGTCACAGCCTTGAATATTTCTTTTGGGGAAGTGAGCATCCTGTGATGCGAGTTGCATATTTTTTTTACTTTATTTTAATAATGAACCCAGCCTTACCTGATGATTTACTTGGACATCCATGACGCAAACATAGCATGAAAATATATTTGCCAAGTACAAATCTTGATGAGCTTATTCTGCATGACAGACCTGATTTCTGAACGCTAGTAGATTTGCTGATCCTGACTTGAGTATAATTTTCGACGAATTTGTCATCGGTTGAACAACTTGCAGTAGCCTGTGTCCGAAAGGTCAACCTCCCTAATCCATCTGCAATGACTTTCCTGCCCAACCTAATCTTTGTTTGTAATAATTTGTGTTTGAGGCCATTTAATTGCAAAGAAGAAATTTGTCGACGTTTACTGCTTAGGTCCTAAAAAACTGTGATCGACCATTTATCTTCGGAACAAAGTATATGCATACATTGAAAGAACAATATCTCTTACTAGGTCCATCTTCCTTGATTGCTTCTTTGCTAGCAAGATCAAAATGCTACACATAAACTGTTTTCCTTGTTCTATTTTCCTGTATCTCTGCAGATGGTAATCAGGAGCTGCATACACCGAATCGCTGGCCAACTCCCAGATGTGGCGCCACATGATAGTGGCATGGCATCACCATGGTGTTGAGGAACGCGGCCTCCATCTCTGTGGAGGCGCTTCTCCTGAGCAAGCACATGGCATACTCCATCACCGATGCGTCGCAGGGCAGAGTGATTCTGCCACCGTCAACACCTGTGAAGCCAAACTCCTCTTGGGATATCCTCAAGAGCTCGCTGAAGACGGTCGTTCCGAGGAACGTAAGAGGCACCTCGAACCTTACACCATCGGCAGTGTACACGACGCAGTGGCCCTTGCCGGCCGCTGTCGAGCACGGCGTGCTGCACGACTCTCCAGCTTCTTCTTTGGACGTTGATGGCGACCAGGTGAGCCTCTTCCTTCCCATAGCCGCCACCCTCTGCCACTTCTTGGCCAGCCGAGCAAGTGTCTTGGCACTCGTCATGGTAGTTTCTTGTGTTTCTGGAACTGGAGAAATTCTTCTGCTAGTGGGAGGTTGGAATGCCTTTGTCTGTAGATGAACTGGTGGTGTTGGGTGTCACTAGCCATGGATTTATAGCTCAAGGGTGAAGGAACACCCACATATGCTGTAGTATGTGATGGTTGGGCAGGAGACAATGCCATGTGTATGGTACGTGCGGTGCTGCAGTTTTGGAGGTGCCGTGATGTGATCTAGATCAGGTCTGCTGGGGCCAAGTGTTTGCCACTTGCCGGAGCTTGGACGTCTCGCCTGCACAGCCATGGTGATCTGTTTGCTAGGGAAATGGCACGAGCAAGAGGACCCCATGGGGCTATAGCCACAAGCACATTTCAGACATCGATGGTGGCATGGTGCTTGGAAATCTCATCAAAATCAGTCATCACGTTTGGTGTCTGCAGCTAGTTGCAACAACATCGCACGCAGAGCACTCATGGCATTGCCCCCTGCCCAACTCTTTCGCTGATATCTACACACTAACCACACGCAGATGCACTGCCCTGAGTCCTTTCTTCCTTCTACTATAAATCCATGGCCTGCTCAGCACAAACTTCATCTCATCACAAGCAGCATCACAATCTACAACACACTCCAGAGCCAAAGTGAAATTTAGCCAGCCAGAAACACATATATCCGACTCAACCATGATCCATCCGAAGAAGCTTTCTCAGCTGGCCAAGAAGTGCCAGCGGATGTTGTCGGCCAGAGCCGGTGCCCGCCGTCCGCATGCTTCAGACACGGCCGACGATGAGTGCTGCAGCACAGTGTCATCTGTGGTTGCCGATGAGGGCCACTGCGTGATGTACACCGCCGATGGAACCCGGTTCGAGGTCCCTCTGGTGTACCTCGGGACGACGGTCTTCGCCGAGATCTTAAGAATGTCTGAGGAGGAGTTTGGCTTCGCGAGCGGCAGTGACGGAGGCAGGATTATGCTGCCCTGTGATGCCACTGTGATGGAATATGTCTTGTGCCTGGTCAGGAGAGAGGCCTCTGAGGAGGTTGAGAGGGCGTTCTTGAGCTCCATTGTTGGGCACTGCCACAATTACCATGCTAGCTGCGTGGCACCAGCAATGGGACTTGGCCATCAGTTCGCTCTTTGTACTTAGCTAGCTACTACTAGCTTAGCTTCTGAAATATTTTTAGTTAGGACTGAGAGGAGCTCTATAGAGCCTCATGTAAGATTCAATGATCACAGAAAATGATTCAAAGAGACAAATTTTCTGGGAGAAATTGGATTATTTGACACATCCTTGAACATAGTTCATATATACTAGTGAAGGAAGTAAGAAAGAAACCGTGGACTTAAAGTTTGTGGTCAGGTTGCTGAAGTCGGTGATGGCGCTGCGAAGGGCATGGAAATGAGAGGATTAGATGGACAGTGAACAAACTGTTGTTCCTTTACTAAAAAAAAGAAGGATGTTCCTACCTCCAACTAGAAACGTCGGATTGAGACTGCGTGTCCCAGATGGAGGTACGTTGAGCAGTTCATAGGTTCTGGTTAGAGGTAGTAACAACGTCTTCCACCATGTCACTGCTATGCGTTGGCTGTGCGGATTCTCGTCAGCTCACCACATTTCTGTGAAAAGCTAGCATCATAGGGGACATGGCACATGATGGTCCAGGAACCTTTCATAGGCAGATGCAGAGTTCACTTCACTGCTTTTGGGTGTGTACTTTGCACTTACAGCTGCAGCTGCATGTTAGGCGTTTGTTGGTTTAACAGTTCTTTGATTGCTTCAAATCTGGCAAGTTCCATATCTCATTGTCCACCCATGGTCTGCATAGTTTCTAGCATAGCATGTGTCCACCATCTTTTGCTATCTTCCTTGCATTTAGCTGGGCAGTTGAGGGTTTCTAGTTCACAGCCTTGAAAATTTCTTTTGGGGAAGTGAGCATCGTGTGACGCGAGTTGCATATTTGTTACTTTATTTTAGATAATGAACCCAGCCTTACCTGATGATTTACTTGGACATCCATGACACAAACATAGCATGAAAATTTATTTGCCAAGTACAAACCTTGGTGAGCTTATTCTGCATGACAGACCCGATTTCTGAACGCTTGTAGGTTTGCTGGTCCTGACTTGAGTATAATTTTCGACGAATTTGTCATCGGTTGAACAACTTGCAGTAGCCTTTATCCAAAAGGTCAACCTCCCTAATCCATCTGCAATGACTTTCCTGCCCAACCTAATCTTTCTTTGTAATAATTTCTGTTTGAGGCCATTTAATTGCAAAGAAGAAATTTGTCGACAGTTACTGCTTAGGTCCTAAAAAAACTGTGATCAATCATTTATCTTCGGAACAAAGTATATGCATACATTGAAAGAACAATATCTCTAGCTAGGTCCATCTTCCTTGATTGCTTCTTTGCTAGCAAGATCAAAATGCTACACATAAACTGTTTTCCTTGTTCTAGTTTCCTGTATCTCTGCAGATGGTAATCAGGAGCTGCATACACCGAATCGCTGGCCAACTCCCAGATGTGGCGCCACATGATAGTGGCATGGCATCACCATGGTGTTGAGGAACGCGGCCTCCATCTCTGCGGAGGCGCTTCTCCTTAGCAAGCACATGGCATACTCCATCACCGATGCGTCACAGGGCAGCGTGATTCTGCCACCGTCAATGCCTGAGAAGCCGAACTCCTCTTGGGATATCCTCAAGAGCTCGCCGAAGACGGTCGTTCCGAGGAACGCAAGAGGCACCTCGAACCTTACACCATCGGCAGTGTACACGACGCAGTGGCCCTTGCTGGCCACTGTCGAGCACGGCGTGCTGCACGACTCTCCGGCTTCTTCTTTGGACGTTGATGGCGACCAGGTGAGCCTCTTCCTCCCCATAGCCACCACCCTCTGCCACTTCTTGGCCAGCCGAGCAAGTGTCTTGGCACTCATCATGGTAGTTTCTTGTGTTTCTGGAACTGGAGAAATTCTTCTGCTAGTGGGAGGTTGGAATGCCTTTGTCTGTGGATGAACTGATGGTGTTGGGTGTCACTAGCCATGGATTTATAGCTCAATGGTGAAGGAGCACCCACATATGGTGTAGTGTGTGATGGTTGGTGCGCTGCTGCAGTTTTGGAGGTGCCGTGATGTGATCTAGATCAGGTCTCCCTGGGGCCAAGTGTTTGCCACTTGCCAGAGCTTGCGATGGACGTCTCGCCTGGACATCCATGCTGATCGGTTTGCTAGAGAAATGGCACGAGCACGAGGACCCCATGGGGCTCTCTAGCCACAAACATATTTCAGACATGGATGGTGGCATGGCGCTTGGAAATCTAATCAAAGTCATTCATCACATTTTCTACAGCTACTTCCACCAACATTGCACACAGAGCACTTGTAGCATTGTCCCCTGCCCAACGCTCCCGCTGATAGTTACACACAACCTACACGCATATGCACTGCCCCGAGCCCTCCCTTCGTTGTTCATTCTACTATAAATCCATGGCCTACTGAACACAGACTTCATCTCATCTGCAAGCAACATCACAGTCTACAACACACCTTCAGACTTTCAGAGCCAAAGTGAAATTTAGCCAGCCAGGAACACATCAGACTAAAACCATGATCCATCCAAAGAAGCTTGCTCAGCTGGCCAAGAAGTGCCAGCGGATGTTGGCGGCCAGAACCAGTGCCCGCCGTCGGCATGCCTCAGACACAGCCGCTGACGAGTGCTGCAGCACAGTATCATCTGTGGTTGCTGATGAGGGCCACTGTGTGGTGTACACTGCCGACGGAACCGGTTCGAGGTCCCTCTGGCGTACCTCAGGACGACGGTCTTCTCTGAGCTCCTGAGGATGTCCGAGGAGGAGTTTGGCTTCGCGAATGGCAGTGACGGAGGCAGGATCATGCTGCCCTGCGATGCCGCTGTGATGGAGTATGTCTTGTGCCTGGTCAGGAGAGAGGCCTCTGAGGAGGTGGAGAAGGCTTTCTTGGGCTCTATTGCTGGGCACTGCCACAGCTACAATGCTAGCTGCATGGCTCCATCAATGGGAATCAGCCATCAATTTGCCCTTTGTACTTAGCTACTAGCTTAGCTTCTGAAATAGTGTGTTGGTTAGGACTGAGAAATGCTTTATATAGTTCTATGTAAGATCGATTATCACCGGAAATGATACAAAAGTTTCTCGACTTTCTGGGAGAAATTTGATTATTTGACACATCCTTTAACATTCTGCTCAAAGTTCGTGAGGGTGAATTGTGGGTGCAGCTGCTAAAAGCAGGGGATGTGAATGATGGAACTCGGCAACAATGCCGGCGAAGGGGAGAGATGAACGATGAACGAACTGCCTTCCCTACCTCTAGCAAGGACTATCGGATTGAGAACTTGACTGTGAGCCCGTTTATAAGATTTTGCAGAGAACGCGCTCCATGTAGACCTGCCTCTACTGCCTCGGAGATGGATGCTTCCACCACCGCTGGCGTGTGATGTCCGATGCGCAGCTAGCGTCTGCGTGCGTGTGCTCGGTGGCGTCTTGCTTGCTTGAGCACCTCCTCCATACTCCGGTGAGAATTCCAGACTGGATTAATCTCTCCAATCGGTACCAAAGTAATCAAATTTGGTTAGGTTAGATCTTTAGTTACAGGAAAGATGAGCAAGTTGGTCTGCTTTATGTAATTCAAGAAAGCAAATAATTTAGGTTTCATTTGGATATAAAGTGTTCACCTTCCTGAAGAAATCAGGATATCATACATATTGTGATACTCTGCTTTTTATCTTCTGTCTTGTATGCATTACCCAAATATGGAGTAGTAGATACACACTGAAGATGAATGTATTGTGCAATCACATGATTTTTACTGGCATATAAAAGAGGGCATCTGTTCATTATTTTTGTATGCAAAATTGACTGAAGGTGCTGGGTTAACAGGTTTCTGCTACATTCGTTACGGCTTGCAAGACTGGAAAGGCTTTACAAGTGGCAGCAAGAAGAATGCTAATGATTTCATCAACATTAAGAAAATGCACAGTTTTAGTTTTCCTTCTATCCATGTGAAAACTACTTTGCTAACTAATACCACACAGATAAACACTAGGAGCTGCGAACAGCCACAACAGCCAGAGATGGTGCCACACAGATTGCATAGTGGCATGGCATCACTATGGAGCTCAAGAATGCCTTCTCGACCTCCACTGAAGCATTTCTTCCAAGCAAGTACATCATGTATTTTATCTCTGTGGCATCGCATGGCAAGGTGATCCTACCATTGCAAGTGATGACACTAAACTCCTCCAGAGACATAAGGAGGAGCTCTCTGAAGATCATTGTGCCGAGGTATGCCAATGGCACCTCGAACCGCCTCTTGTCAGTTGTGTACATGACACAGTGGTCCTTGCCTGCCACTGCCATTGACCACCCTTCGGCTTCTTTTTTCGCCGTCATGGTAAGCTGCTTCCTGCTGAGGTATGCTACCCTTTGCCACTTCTTTGCTAGTTGAGCAATTCTCTTGGCACTGACCATGTTCGGTCCTTCTGAAAGGTGGAAACCGGAGACTCAACTTGAGTTGCAATGCTTTGTTTGTGGTGAAGCAATGCTGTTTGGAGGTCACTGAACCAAGATTTTGTAGCTAGAGCCGGAAGGGAAGTAGGACACTGTCAAGTGTCATTGATATTTGGTAAGGGGACAACGCCATGAGTCTGGTACGTGCAATGTCGCAAGCAGATCAGGGCAATGTTATTGAGATTGGATATTGATTTGAGCCAACTATTTGGTGCGTGCCGGGTACATCACCAGGCACCGCCACTGACATGTTTAGTGGATTAGCAGCACGAGGACCCCATGCAAACTGGGTTCAACGCATGAGCGTCAGTTTCTTGCAATAATATATTGGCAGACTTCTGGTTGCGACGGGGAAATCTAGCCAGCATGTTCAGTTGCCAATAGTCTTCCTTTAGTTTAGCAGATGAGAAACTGACTTAGTTGGATTAGTAATTTAGCGTGTTCTTAACATTTTGATTAGGTGTGGAAGGGATAGTATTAGTTGACGTAACACACACAACTCTCTGAACACTATCATAACTCAGTCCTGTTGATGGCCTACCTGATTTGTAGCATTGCATGTGGAAGCCATTCTGTAGCGCCTTCTCCGCACTTTCCTTTGGGCCTTCAGTTAGCTGCATGTGTGAACTGAATAACAGGCATCGACTATATCTTGCACCGACACTACCTTCTGTAAAATTTGCGGGTAGGAGGACATTCAATTTTTCAGTAACAATCATTACTTGTTTTTTACCCCAATAATAAAATCTGCCTTATACCCATTAAAACCTGTGGAGTAAACCATGCTTTCTATTCCATTTTTGTGTTTGTTATCATACTTCATTTCTTATTGGATTGATGGCACTGCAATAATTTTACAGAGGATTCATCATTAGAATGGCTCCTGTATCACCTGGTCATTTCACTAATTCGTAACTTTTTGATCTTTTTAATGTTCTGGCTTATATTGAGTAGATTGTACGGAAACTTGTTGTGTATTCTCTGTGGAGCAAGATGCGAAACAGATATGTAATTAAGAGAAGAATGCATACTGCTGGTGGCCATAATGCTGCTTTGTTGCATTGATGATCAGATTGCTATACATACAATTTTCCTGCTCCCTATTATCTAATGTCTAACTATCTTACACTACGTACCCATGCAAAGTACTCAAAACAGAGGACATCATCAGGGCCTCCGCATGCATGTTCTTGAGAAGCTACAAACAGCAAATCTGCTGGCTGGCTCCGACGGTAGGCATTGCACAGCCAGTGTAGTGGCAAGGCGTCACCATGGATCTCAGCAACGCACTCTCGACCTCGGCGGAGGCGTTTCTCCTGAGCAAGCACATGACATACTCCATCACTGCCGCATCGCAAGGCAGTGTGATTTTTCCATCGCTTGCAAAGCCAAACTCCTCCTGAGACATCCTCAGGAGCTCGCCGAAGACCGTCGTGCTGAGGTACTCCAAGGGTACCTCGAAACGCCTCCCCTCGGCCGTGTACATGACACAGTGGCCCTTGGCTGGCACAGAACTGCAGCAGTCGTGATCTTCTTTGGCTGATACCGTGAGCCTCTTCCTCCCAAGTGCTTCCACCCTCTGCCACTTCTTTGCCAGTTGAGCAAGTCTCTTGGCACCAGCCATGGTTGGTTTCTTGGCCTTTGTGTTTTCAGCTGGAAATCTGAAGTGGGATAGATGTCGTGATGCTCAGTTGGTGGTGGTTGTGCTGATGAATAAGTGATGGTGTTGAGCTCGTCGCTTGCTGAATTTATAGGCCAGGGGAAGGGCGTTGAAGGTGAAGTGTGGTTTTCATTGATAATAGCTGGCAAGGGACAAGGCCATGGGATCAGTGCATGCAATGTTGCAACATGATTGATTTGGATTAGATTGCGGTGGGGCCAAATGTTTGGTGTATGCTGGAGCCTATGGTCGTACTTGGGTAGGCATTGGTTGGCTTTCTTATCATTCGTGGCTGCCATACCAAACCGCGTAGGCGCGTAGTGAACAAGAGGCGTGTCGAGAGCATAGCTATTGGCAACTTGTGGGGAGGGGACAGCGATGGGTTCCAGATTCAGGGATTGAGCAATTTCAGCGACGGTGAGCACTCACTTACACCATCTATGTGCTTTCTAACGTGCATTGTTCATGCACCTGATCAATCTATTCTCTGTTGACATTGAGTTGAAAAGCTTGCTTCGGTCTAGCACATGATATGTTTGATTTCTAAGCTGAAAGCACATGTCTCTGATGCGTCTTGGGTTCCGTATGTATTCATAACAATTGCAATGTGTCGTTTCCAGTTAGTAGTTGGATTTGTCAAACACAAGTACTTGGACTAAATTCAGAGTTATAGTCTTCCTGTTGCTGATGAGAAACTTACTTATTTGGATCTATGGTTGTACTTCAGCGTTTTCTTAACATTTTCATTAGGTGTGAAAAGGACAGTTGTTAATTGATGCAACACACACAACTTGCTGAACAGTGTCATAACTGAGTTCTTTTGATGGTCTGCCATTGCATGAGGAAGCCATTCTGTAGCGCCTTCTCCGCACTTTCCTTTGGGCCTTCAGTTAGCTGCATGTGTGAACTGAATAACAGGCATCGACTATATCTTGCACCGACACTACCTTCTGTAAAGTTTTGTGGGTAGGACATTCAATTTTTCAGTAACAGTAAACTATCAATTTGTTTTACCCCCAAAAATGAATCTGCCCCCTAAATACTTGTGGAGTGAACCCTGGTTCCCGTTCCATTTTGTGATTTTTACCTACTTCATTGCTTATTTTGTTGATGGTGTTGTATTTATTTTCCACTGGACTAGATGATAGATTGCATGGAGAATTGTGGCGTATTCTCTGTGCAGCAGGATTAAACTATCGACATCTAAAAGTAGTCACAACCATTGTTGGTCCATTATGGAGTTGTATGAAACTAAAATTTAAGAGAAGAATGCCCCAGAGTACTGCTTTGTTTCTTTAATGATCAGATTGCTATACATACAATTTTCCTGCTCCTATTGCCTGTTATCTTACTATCTTACACTGTCCAGGCAAACTACACAAGAAAAAAGACATCATCAGGGCCTCTTCAGAAGCTACAAACAGCAAATCTGTTGGCTGGCTCCAACAGTAGGCATGGCGCAGCCAGTGTAGTGGCAATATGTCACCATAGAGCTGAGCAATGCACTCTCGACCTCGGCGGAGGCGTTTCTCCTGAGCAAGCACATGACATACTCCATCACTGCAGCATCGCAAGGCAGTGTGATTTTTCCATCGCTTGCAAAGCCAAACTCCTCCTGAGACATCCTCAGGAGCTCGCCGAAGACCGTGGTGCTCAGGTACACCAAAGGCACCTCGAAACGCCTCCCGTCGGCCGTGTACATGACACAGTGGCCCTTGGCTGGCACAGAACTGCAGCAGTCGTGATCTTCTTTGGCTGATACCGTGAGCCTCTTCCTCCCAAGTGCTTCCACCCTCTGCCACTTCTTTGCCAGTTGAGCAAGTCTCTTGGCACCAGCCATGGTTGGTTCTTGGTCCTTGTGAGAATTTCAAGGAGTGAGCTATGGATGTTGAAATTCTTAGTTGGTGGATGAGCTGATGAAGTGATGATACTGAGCCGGCAGCTTACTGAATTTATAGGCAAGGTGGCGAGGGGAAGGACATTGTGATGGTGAAGTGGAGCTATCATTGAGAAAGGTTGGCAAGGCACAAGGCCATGGGATCAGCACATGCAGTGCTGCAGCATATGATTAGTTTGGACAAGGCCATGGGATCAAATGATTTGCGTATGCCGGAGCCTATTGTCATAACTGGTAGGCATTGGTCTGCTTTCTTATCATCGTGGCCATACCGTACCGCATAGCGAACAAGAGGCGTGTCGAGAACGTGGCTATTGGCAATGTGCAAGGAGTCGGGGGGACAGCGATGGGTTCCAACTTGAGGGATTGAACAATTTCGGTGGGCACCGATTGGTTCCACTCTAGCTAGCTAGGCGCTTGTGGTGACAGTTAATTACCTGAAGCTGTGATGTGAGTCGTTCATGCACCCATATCGATCAGTCTGTTCTTTGTGAAGATTTAGTCAGAAAGCTCGTGGTCGGCCTAGCACATGATCTGTTTGATCTCCGGCAACTCACATCACATGCATGGTACCTCTTGGGTACAGTAGTACATACATGAAGCAAACTTGTTGTGAAGACTGAAGCCACCTTTGTGTCCTCTGAAAAGTGGCAGATATATCACATTTCCATGCCGAAGCAGGCAGATGTATCTTATGCGTGTTGGGTTCCGTATAAAATGCATGCATAACGATTTGAATGCCCGTTGTAGTTGGGTTTCTCACACACAAGTATTTGGACTCAGTTCAGAATGATCCAGAAGAGAAAAACTCTACTCCAGTTCTCTAATTAGGACACTCCTGGAAAAGTACACCATTGAGTTGCCCTGCTTTCTCCAATCTTTTTGGTTGGTTGTGAACCTGTATACATTTTTTGAGATGTCTTTGGGCTCTCTTTCCTGGAGATTTGACTGCTTGGCTTAATTAGCTTGCGACAGATGGTGCAAGAGGACTGATGTGTTCCAATGTCTGAATTTGTAGGCTCTGGAAAAGCTGGGATCCTGGTGAAGTGATTTGGGGTTAGTCAGCACGCAACGTGCAATGCTGCGTGCGTTGTGATGAGGTTTCTGACAGAAAAGTGTAGAGCCGTCTCTAGCCAGTGTGTGGACAGGCAATGTGGTTCCAATGAAGCACGCGTCCTAATTAAGCTGTCCAGTATGCATTGCAACACACGCTAATTTGATCTCTCCACACGCCCAGACACTGCTACACATTTTCCTTTTTGAGAAAAATCTCGCCAAATTTAACTTTATCGCTTCGGCTAGCCTAGCACTGAAGTCGGCACGCGCCCGAACTCCCTATCGCTCCACCTCTGTGAGCAGAGCACATGACGGCAGCTTCCTGCTTGCTCTCTCGGCCAGCTGCGTCGCATGCGCACCGGGGGCTTGCATGCTGCGACTATTGTGGTGCATGACCAAGAGAGGGAGGAGACCGCTATTGTGGTCACCCCGCAAATTTATTATTTTGGCATTTTTCATCAAGGGCATATAGATAGCCATACATATATAGCAGGTTGTTTATATTCAGAAAGAAAGACAAAAACAGTAACAGTTTACATATCAGGTTGGGTTTGTGTATGCTTTTTCTGTTGTGGTCCTTGGAGTGCTTTCTTTAGCTTGGCAGTTGCTATGACATGGAATTGAGTTATAATTTTGGGATATGAAAACAAGTAAATGTGCCTGGCTAGGTCCACTTGCATGCTCAGTGTATTTTGTTTGCATTTCTCTCCTGCATGGAAAATATAGATTTCATGTCAGGCTGGGAAATTACATTTTGTTTGTGTCGCCCATTAGGTCCAGGACTGATAGGATGTCACTTTTACAGTTTGAGCAATACTGAACAACATACAGGTTGTGCAGGTACTTCTGTTTGCAAATTTGCTGCATGGTCTGACAAAAAATAGTACTGGTAGTGAAGTGTCATTTATACATAAACTTCGAGGCGACTGTGCAGCATCAACTTGGTTTTACTGGAAATTCGTTGTTCATCTGTAGGACAATGATCTCCTTTTGTTGCGTAGTAATTTTGATGATTTATTTATATAAGTTTGTATGAACACACAAGCAATTTGAACCATTCTGAACGAACCAGTGATTAATGAATTTAGATCACCTTTGTACGTCCCTGTTTTTTGATTTAGATTTGAGGGAAAATATGCTCTGAATTTTTGACACCAATACTAGCATGGGTCCGAAGTAATCAGTCATTGTGATGAACATACCACTGAATATGTTAATAAGATTTCTACTACACCACAGACTATGCATTTGTAGTAAGATAAAGTAACAGACTGAACCGATTTAGACTTGCTCAGTTAGTGGTCGCTGACTTGTGATGGATGAACTTATTTTGATTGGTTCTGCAGGTCTCCCTTTTTTGATAAAATTTGTTATTATTATTATTTTTAAACGAGGCAAAAGACTTGCCATTTCATTGATTAAGAGAGAGTAAGAATTGCCAGGTTAATTTGCGGAAAACCGGGCTAAAACCGATACAACTCAGCCCAGGAAATGGACACCACCGGCCAACCTGGCCACATGCCAACAGATGGCCATACGCGCCAACGAACGACAGCTTCGACTTTGACGACAATCTTTGCGAGGGAAATATGCAGGGCTTGCGCCGACCGAGTCCTCCGCGAATGACCGCCGAGTGCCTGTCATCATCACCACTTGGACACAATCCACCGCGGTTTCGACTCCACAACAACCAAGCAACCACGGAAGAGCACATCGGACACGCCGGACAAAATTTGTTATTATTAGGATTTAGGCAAGGTACCACCTTCCAATGTGTGCTTGTGTGTCTTTGGCAAAATTTATCATATTGGTATTGTTTTGACCGAGTATGCTGGCTGGAACTGAAGGCAATTAAGTTTCTTAAGGTTAGCCAATTAACTCTCTCCTTGGACCTTCTAATAATTTTACTAAATTTCGTTTGTTTGCATCATCCCAGCAGTTATCTCTTTATTCTGATGGGTTAATTGTTGACTGGTTGTAAATTTTCATTGTTAACAAGGATTCAGTAATGCAACCTAGCTTCCTAAGAACTTACTTCCGTTACCCGCAAAAAAAAACCCTTACTTTCGTTTTCCAAAAAAATAATCACTTTTACGGGAGTGATTCATTTTTGGCCTACTTTTTATGGCCTTGGGCCTCGCGTGCTGCTTCAGGAGTAAAATACATATACAGCTTGAGGCAGATAGCAGAGAGCAGTCCAGCGGTAAGAGTTGGTATTTGTTTTAATATATATGCTAGGAAATATGCCCGTGCTTCGCAACGGGAGAAAAATAATTAAATTATGCATATGTGGTAGAGATAAAAAAAAGTATGAAACATATGCCAGGATGAGATAAGGACTTCTAAAATGTGATTTAACAAACTACGTCCGAATCATGTCACAATGAGATAAGGAACTTTTAGAAAGTCATTTCAAAAGCTAAAAATGTGATGGTGCCATCACGATTTGACCTAACGCCGCGATGTTTACCATGACCAACAAAACTGTGATATCATGATAAATATAGATGTCTGCCACCAAAAAAATATATAGATGTGTATGGAGGCAAATTAGACATTTAGTCATTTTCATATAGCTTATAAAAACTAACACATAGGAAGATGTGTCAATTTTTTGGGGCTCAACCCTGAACAGAACACAGAAACCGTTTTTTAGAAAACACGAGATGTACTAAATAAAATAATAAAACAACGTCTGTAGATCTAAAAAAGACTTCTATGTAAGCGGTTTTTTTGTTATTTACGGATCTGTTTGAATTTTGGAACATTTTTTTAAAATTCCAAATATGTTTTGAATACACGATAAAATCATGAGTACTTTTTATTTCATGAGTATTTTTTTGAAATCATGATTTTTATTATAGTATGCAAAGAGTTTTTTTTAAATACCGGACATTCTAAAAATTTCCAATTTTTTTTGAATTTATGAACATTTTTTGATTTCTCAAAAAAAATCAAAACTCGCAACTTTTTGAAATTTGTAGTTTTTAAAAATATCGAGTTAATTTAAAGAAGAAAAAAACAGATACAGAAATAAGGAAAGAAAAAAAAGGGAGTCACACACCGCATGGTGGGCCGGCCCATGAACAAGTGTGGGGGATAGAGAAGGAGCGCTTGCTGT